TTCCCTATACCAAGAGGAGAGTGAGCTACATCAAAAGCACAAACTGAGGGTTGTCTTCAGTGGTTTCAGCAGATATTTGGCAGAATGGATTCCCCTTTTTGCCTTCAGCCACTGTGTGCCCCTAGATCAGTTCTGGAGTGTTTGTGAGGGGGGTTAGCAAGGAGGTGAGGAAGCAGGAGTCTGGTTACATGAGGGGAAATCCACTGTCATGTGTAGCCATCTTGTAGTCATATTTTGGGCCAAGTAGAGTTTCTAGACCATTCCTAAAGGCAACATCCACTGTAATAGCTTAATAAGGTCTTTCAAACAGTTGGTGTCAATAAATGCCTTGCTTAGGATGTTGAAAATTAGCATTTAAAATTATACTGGTTCAAAATTATTGTTGAGGTGATTTCATTGCACAATTCTAGGAATACAACATACGCCTGCAGTCTAGAAATGAGAGGACATCACAGTGAATACTGCTTGCCAAAAGACATGTCTCCAAGCTGTCTTCCCACTCCAGAATAAATAAATAAAATATTTCAGAGAGAGGAGTTGTGTATGTTTTGGCCATGCTGTTGGACTTTGTGTGTAAAAAACCGATTCATAACTTTAACTTCCACTAGGTAGACACTTACACAAGAAACTCATTTAAAGTGGTCAAATTCAAACAAACATTTTCTGCGAAAATTCGGTGAGATGGCATTTGCCAGAAGTTTTTTTTCCAGGAATTATTAACCTCCAAAGACTGCAAACACCCCCCCCCCTTTGAATACCTCTTGCCAGAATTGCTCTCCAAAACTCATAAAATAAGAACTTTAGAAAACCTGTCTGAAAATGACTTTGCTTTAAAAATATCTGCGCCACACCGTTACATAGCACAAAGCCAGAAATGAATGGAGAAGGTATATGGGCAAGAGGAGTGGTAGAGTAGCCATGTGAGTTAGCACCCTGGCACAGGGACTACTGCTTGCAGTGAAGGATGACTGCACATGCAAAACATGTTTGCTAAGTCCAAATTCCCACCCTGCATGGACAAAACAGGACTACAGAGAAAGAAGAACATAATTAGCCTTCTCCAAATATTATCAAAGTGTTACCTTTAGGACCACCCTGTCTAATTATAGATAGACCAGCCATTCATATGATGATTTTATTATTACTGTAGTTATGTGTTTTGTCTTGTAAACATTTAAGCCAATATTGGTCTAAATTCTACATTAGTTTACTAGACATCTAATAGACTGCTGGGACTTTCTTAATATCTTCTACCCCCTTCATTCATCTCATGACACTAAAAATGTGCTCCAGAGGGTTTGCCAGCTACCCCAAGAGTGTAGAGGAAATGACAGTGGAGATGCTCCTCCTACCTCTTTCGTTGAAGGAACTGTACTGTCAAATTCCAATGCATATATTTATATTTAATATTTGGGCCAAGGGTCTGGTTGACACCGGTGGAGTCTACCAGTTTAAAAGGTCTACCAGTTTGTTGAGGGGGATGTAGGAAATGGCAACAATAGTGGTGGTTAGATGGGCAATAGGGATGATAACTTCCCATCCATTCTAGAGACTATTCCAAGGATGTCCCAGTGGATGTCCTTAGAAATAGAGCTGTCCCCACATGGTAATGCTCTTCATGAAAATGGATAAATGCCTTATGTAGGGGAGATGGGTACTGGACACCTTCTTATATAAGTATCTAGTGCAATTGTTGTCCAGGAAAAAGTTGAAATGGGTTGTATAAGGGGGTAATGGATATGTGTATACAAATGTCCAACTAGTACACTTGCCAACATAATCAAACATTACACCAGTGTAACACCCAAAGAGGCTTCCAGATTTAAAAATGGGCATTATATCTTGTCTTGGCTACAACTCTACATTTTATTTTTGTGCTTTTGCAAAGGCCAGCACATCTAGAAAGGCAGGCTACAGATGAGGATGAGGATCATGATAATGATGATGACAATGATATTGAAGAACAAAGACCAATTTCCAGTCATTGTTGCTGACTACAGGCCACAAATGTGTTGCTGTTGTTTTAAAGAGTAACTCATATTCACCTCTCATTCTATACTCACCCACTAAACATCAAAGCAAGTCAGCAAAATCACTGGAGGCTTCAGAAGTGCATTCCCCCCCCCCCTTTTTTTTTTTTTTTTGCATGTACACATATCTATGCATATTTCAATAGCAGCTATGAGAAAATCAGATGGCTCCAAAGCTGCAAAAGTGGTCAAAGTCTTGCAAGTGGTCCATGAGCCATGTGTGATGTACTCTGGTATTAGGAGATTATCACACGTGGCTTTTAAACTGTGATTCCCATGGGAAGGAAGAGGCATCAGTGATGCTGTTTGCACAATGCCACTTCTCTCCTGTAGCTGCCCTGTCCTGGACCCTTTTCATTTATGAGGGAACCCCATGAATGAATTGCCAATTGTGCAATATCTGGATGCAGAAAGCTATTCCCAGGGCATTCACGCAATTGGCAGTCACATGCTGTCATTGTCCTCTCCCCCCCCCCTTGCTTTTTAAACACCCCTTGTTTTTCATCCAATTTCAAAGCCTGAAGCCTTGAAGTTTTAAAAAACTTAAGTCAGGGTTGCAGATCTCTAGAATTGCACAAAAAAGTTGGATTGTTATTGTTTGTTTGTTTGTTTTTAAAAAAACAAACCTAAAGGCATGCTGCCTAAGGTATAAGGGAGCAGATGGGAAGACAGCGCAATGGAGGCAGGAGCACCAGTCACACAAGTGGAAGAAATGTGGTGGTGGCTGCTCCAAAATCCGTACGTTGCCATTTTATTTTGGCTTGCAGTACTGCAGCATGAAAGGGGCTGGTGTGATAATGTTCTTGGAAGGACATTAAAGACAACTGAAAAAGAGACCCTTGGGCTCAAATATTCTGGTAGTATTCAGTGAGGGAATAGTATTTATTTTCTTAGATGAACCAAATGATTATCATTGATTATCACAGGAAGATACTCTTTTCAGCTCTTGTGTATAATCAGGATCCTAAAGGAGATTTCAGGACTTTCTTGGCTATTTTGTTCCATCATCCAAATTCTTGCACAAAGATAGGCAGTAAAACTATTATGTGGCTTCCTACTATGTAGCTCAAACACACATACACACACATATACCAAACTGATCTAAATATTTTATGTCTGCTTCTACAGACCTATTTGTTCTTCCAGGAAACTGTGGGGGGGCAGTATAACAACAAGTTTTCTACTCAAGCTTCAGCTAGTGGGAGAAATCAAATCACAGTTATGTAAAAGGTTGGATATACTTTAAAGACAAAAACTTGACTGTTGTTGTTTGTCCAAACAAAAGTGGACCTGTTGGATCAATGGAATGTACCTAAATGTTGACTCACCATTCAACAAACTCTAGTTGAGAATAACCAATAAGATTCAGATGAAGCTATTAACACTGTTTTACAAGAAAGAAGAGCTTTTTTTTTTTTCCTTGTGTCAAGTGGGGATCTTCCTGCCTGCCCCTGAGGTACCAAATGCCTCTCAGGAGTGGACAACTTGTGGCCCTCCAGATGTTGTTGGACTAAATTTCCCATTGGTCATAGCCAGCAAAGTCAACATTGAAGGATGACTTGTGATGCAGACAAATGGCATATGGACAAACACAAGTTGCTTCCTCTTGTGCTACATCTTGACATAGGATAGGTTTCCATGACATCCTTAGAAAGCATAGGGATCTTGTAGCACCTTTGAGATTAACTGAAAGAAAGAATCTGGTAGCATGAGCTTTCATAGACTTGAATGTATAACCTGAATCTGAGAAAGTATACTCAAGTCTATGAAAGCTCATGCTACCAAATTCTTTCATTCATTTATTTTCAAAGGGGCTACAAGATCCCTTTGCATACTGATTTTCCAGATTAACATGACTATTTCTTTGAATCTTCAGAATGAAAAAAATCAAAAGAAGGACTGGTAAAGAAGGATGCTTGAAGTAAAGGAGTGATCAGTGATAGATAATAAAAGAGGAAGCAGGATCTAAACAAGTCTGACCTTTATTTACAGGTTTGGTTTGTACTACATTCAAATTTGGCTTCCAGTTTTTAAATGCTGGAGATTTTTTCTCATAAACCATTGGGAGTGATCAGTGTATGAGCTTCCATGAGCCAGTGAGGATTGCCAAGAACAGAAATCTCTGGTGAGCAGAAATGTATAAAAATTTATGGTCAAGCATTTTAATAGGTAATTATACAAAATAAAAGATCATTTACACTTTCCCCAGTGTTTTTCCTTTGCTTTGCTCTCCATACAACTTCCCCTAAAGCTTTATATGTTTGCTTTACACACCACAATCCAGGGAGACTTATGACTCAGCACCTCTCTCCTCTTTAAGCAAGAAGCTTTCAGCATAAATCAATTCATTTTTAAGGGACAAACCCTGTAGAATTCTTCCCTCCACATCTTAATACAACTTTTAAAAAGTATATTATAACCATATGGGTTTTCTTTACACAGCTCATTGTAAAATACAATTTAGAAAATCAAAACAAGAAGCCACTTTGAGAACAATTGCTAATAATGTGTGAAGAGATTCAAATAAAAATGAAATAGCTTTCTTGGGATGGCAAGGCAAGGCAAGGGAGATATTATGTCTGTTTTAAGACACAGGGCAAAATTGGAGACAAATGTTCTACAAAATTAACTAACCATGGATGCAAAAATGTATCATGATATAGGCACATGGATCAGGCCTACTTTGCAGCATAGAGTAATATGTTCAATGGAAAGGGTCATGTTGGGAGGCACCTTTAAAATTATGTAACATTTCTCTAATTACACATCTAGATAAACATCTTTTTTTTGACAGAAAGGTATAAATCAAATCGATGCTAGATACTTGAACTATGAATCAAGAGGTTTCAAATTATGACTATTTATTATTTATTTCGGCAATTTTCCAAGAGAAGACAGAAAAGGCCCAAGTAGGGGAAAACTTTATCTAGCTACTCCTATATATGGGATAGGAAACAAGACTGGAGAAGAGACAGTGTGGTGTAGTAGTTAGAGCATGGGACTATGAATCTGTAGACTAGGGTTCAAATCCCTGCTTGGACATGGAAACTCATGGGTGACCTTGGGCATGGCACACACTCTTAGCCTTAGAGAAAGGCAGAAGCAACCCCCCCCCCAACAAATCTTGCCAAGACAACTTCGTAGTAGGCTCATCTTTGGGTCACCATAATTGGGAAATTACTTGAAGTTATGAAAAAAATTAAATCAGCCCAGTTGGCCTACTTAGCTCAGCATTTTCTTTTTAAAGTGGATCAGGTATTATTTTTTCCCTTTACAACAGATGTTCTGATCTATAGTGGGTTACCTCCATATCTGTTGTTGTTGTTGTTGTTGTTGTTGTTATTTAGAATAATAATAATCTTCCTCATGATCTACAGAAGATGCAAAGGATGGTTGGGCTCTGCTTCTGGCAGGACTTCCAGCCTCCTCTGGTTCTGAGTAGAAGCTGTTATCTTGAGTCTCTTTATCTTCCCTTCTTTCACCTGAAGAGCATTCCTTCAGGTAGAATATGACACAGTAAATGAGAACAGGTTTTAGTATTACAAGGAAAATAATCTCCTCCCTTACTACTTTCTCTGTTCTTTTTGTTGTGTGCCTTCATTTCTGACTTATGGAGATCCTAAGAGCTTGGCAAGATTTGTTCAGAGGGGTTTTTACCAGTGCCTCCCTCTGAGGCTGAGAGAGTGTGACTTGCCTAAGCTCACCCAGTGAGTTTCCATGGCCAAGCAGGGAATCAAACTCCGATCTCCAGAATTGTAGTCCAACGCTCAGAACACTATCCCATACTGGCTCACCTTCTCTATACCATAAACAATTTTATGAACTTCTAGCATGTCTTGTGGGAGTCAGTAGAGTCCAGGTACAGTGTGTGTGTGCTGCAAATTTTAGTCCAAAATTTTAAAGGGGCCACCCAAGGTGCTGAACCTATTTGGAGGATACCTTTGGTAGCTCTTACTTTTTAACCCCCTTCCCCTCATTTCTATCCTACCTTTCTCCCATGGCTGGAGTAATACTCAGAACAGATTTACCTCTGACAAGAAACTCACTAGCCACTACTGATTATGACTCCCTTTACTTGTATTTTTTCCTTAAGATAAGCTTCCTCCAATGGTGCGACAATTGGCAGCCCCCTAGACATCCTAGCTTGTGTTAGAAATAGCAACTTTCCCCTTTATTTTAATAAATTGCTTCAGGCCACCCAATGTGTCCATGATGGTCATCCTCTGAATGATACCAGCCCTCAATGTGTTAAGATTTGGCAAGTAGTGGGAAAACAAAAAAGAAGGAGGAAAAAAAATTGTATTGGAATGAACATTTATGCTTTCTCCAGACTTGGCTCAGGAGGTTTCACTGTGATTCATGTCTTTGTTTAAGAAAGAGACAGTTGTTAAAATGGTATTTATAGCAAGTTATAAGCATTTCCTTATAATATTAATAATATTAAAATAATGCACTTTTCAGCTCCTCAAATCCATGAAAGTGATTTGTTTATAGCGATTTACTATGACCAGAATCCAGTGAGGATAAATATCAAAATTCCTTAGCATTAACATTCACATTTTCTGTTCTATACATGTCATAGGTACATGGAATGTGAGAAGCATGAACCAAGGAAAACTAGACATAATAAAAATGAAAATAGAAAGCATAGACATAGCAATACTAGGAGTGAGTGAGCTAAAATGGAAATGAATGTGACATTTTGACTCAGATTACTACACAGTGTTCTAGTCAGGAAATGAAAAAGGAGAAAAAATGGAGTAGCATCAATAGTGAGGAAGGACCTAGCAAAATCAGTCAAAGGATATAACATAATGTCAGAACAAATCATGTCAATAAGGCTTCACAGGAAGCCAATAAACATAATCATAATCCAAGTATATGCACCAACCACACAGGCACAGGAAGGAAAAATTGAGGATTTCTGTAATGGAGTCTGGGCAAAAATTGACAACATGCCCAAACAGTACTGTTTGGTAATAATAGGCAACTGGAATGCCAAAGTAGGAAGCAGGGCAGAATCAAAGACATAGGGAGATAGTAGGGAGATTTGGGCTTGGCTTCAGGGGCAAGGCAGGAGGGCGGTTGTTAGTTTTGTGATGTGTAATCTTTACTCAGGCCACCATCAGAACAGAATACAGAGAAACTGAATGGTTCCCAATTGGTAAAGGGGACAGGCAAGGCTGCTTAGTACCATCCCATTTATTCAATCTATATGCAGAGAATTTTGTATGTAAAGTGGACTCAGAGACAGGAAAAGTGAAGATAGGAGGAAGGAACATTAACAACCTAACATATGCAGATGGCACAATACTACTAGGAATTTATTTGTTTCATGAGAGGTTTCAATCAGGTTTTCATTGTGCATTGGGATGTGCTACAGGGGAAGTGCACTACTGCAGTTTGGGTCCATTTGGGCTAGTTTAGGATCAAAAAATTGCCTGAAAAATCAGTCCATTTAGGGCTTGTGTGATATTTAGGACTTATGTAGAAAATATTGTTTCAGTTATTAGCTATATTAAGGTAGAATATACTTATGTATAAGTGTGTGTTATAGTGGACATAATAAGGTGAAGATCTTTCAATGAATGTTGAAAGTGGCTGATGATTGTCTGGGGCAGGATTTTAAAAAGGCAAGTGTGTGTGGCAATTAGAATGAGAGGAGAATCTGTCAAGATTAGGGATTAGTTATTGGGGTTTGGAAGTTTGAATAGTTAGGAGAGTCAGAGACAGATATTAGTTAGAGTCAGGGTTAGCAAGGAGATGAGGGTGTATGGTTTTAAAGTATGTTTAACATTTTTATCTTTTTAACTGTATTTTATTGTTTTAACATGCAATTTGGTTTTTATATTGTAATAATCTAATTCTGTTTTAATGTTCTGTTTTTGTATGCTTTTAATTTTACTGGTTTTTTTAATGCTGTGAGTTGGCCCGAGTCCCAGTTTTGGGGAAAGGGTAGGATATAAATAAATATAATAATAAATAATGAGAGACGGTGAAAGGTGTGATTTAGATTATGAAATAAGTAATCTGTGAGATCATGTTCAATTCCTGTTTAATAATATTTTATTATTAAACAATACATAAGTAATATTGGAAAGCTTAAGTTTAGACACAGGGTATCTGGTGGCAGCAGTTAATCAAGGTGATGGTGTCTAGTAGAGATATTGGACAAATGCAGTTGATGGCCACAACAGTGGGACAAGAGGAAGTCCCATATTGGTGCAAAAGTGGGGATAGTGGAAGCTCTCACATTTGGTAGCAGTGGATTAGGGGAAAATCTCACAGGCTGCATCCCCCTCCCCGGTTTTATACCAATGCCTTTAACTTTACCTTTACTTGTCTCCATGGCTAAGGGCAGGGACTGGCAACCTTTTCGAGACCTGGGCCGGTCTCCCGTAACCCAGGTCTCGGCTGGGCCAAGGG